GAGTGACACTAGGGGATTTCTCCTGACATTTCCTGACATCAGCAGGGAGGAAGACATGTAGCAACAGGATGTGCTGTTTTCTTCATCAACATAATGGCATTGTGTCTTTTAGTGAAGTAGATCACTGAGGTACTTCTCCCACCAAGTGATAAACCAAGTGATAATGGAATTTATCAATAATAGCTTGATGATAGACACATTACCTATTTGACTTTTTATACATTTTTCTTTTTTTTTTCCCCATTCATTTGTAAATTGAACCTTTTGGTTCAGACTGCTTGTTAGACAAGGCGAGGCTTATAAAGATGTCATCTTGTTTTGTGCACTTATTTCTTTTTTCCATTTTTTTTAGAATAATTTAAAAAGTTTATTACAGCTTTGTAGTAATTTTACCTTCTAATTCTGCTTTTGTTAGTGGAATGATCTTTTCGTTGCATTGCAATTATAAGAATTTGATTCATAAATCTAGATTTGTTTTCATATAATACATGGAGCTTTAATTACAGATGCAATCAGCAGAGCTTCTGTCCTCTTTGCTCACGAACATCACATTATTATGCTGTTGTGGACTTTCACAGCTGAATGATGTTATTATTCCTTTTTATTATACAAACATGGAAAATTAACTAAAGTATACAGTATCAGAAAAGATGAAAAGTACCACACATTGGGCCTTTTTCAAAACTCAGAGGATGACAATTTGCTTCACACAAGTCAAAAAAAGTACAATCAAGAAAGTTTCTGCTAAAAGAGATCGCTAATAATTACAGTATTTGTGAAATGTTTGCTGTTGCCCAGCCCTTACTGGTTGTGAGAAACCTGCATTGCACATATAGAAGATAAAAGGGCAGTGTAGTGTTTCACTGCTGCCTCACAGTAGGAAGCTTCTTGGTTTATGGCTGATATTACACAGGAAGGCTCATCACTCAATACATTTTCAGTCATGAGGACACAGTTAATACATCATGCAAAGGCAAATTACACATTCACTGAGGTAACTTTTTCCATGGTTAGTTGGTAACGACAAAAGATAAATAAAATCCTTGTGGGTTTTGTTGAGAATTAATGCTAATGAGAAACTTTCCTCTTGCACCACCATCAGGTCAAATCTTTATTTGAAGTTGTGATACTGGAAGGAATAAGGTTCTCCAATGAGTCTGTCTCAGGTTTTTCTCCCAAATCTCTACACATATAGGTTTGGACTCTAAAGTGCCTGTAGTTGATACTGTACATGTTTTGGGTTGTGTGTCTGTGTTAGCAGCGTGATTGTGAGGCCGACAACCTGTCCAGGTCTACCCTTTGTGTCACTCAGTATGAGCTGGGATGACCACTGTGACTCTGATAAGCAACAATAGGGAACCCTGTGCCCTAGTTAAGACACATACTCTACCCCACACTGATCCTGAAACAAATCTGAAAGGAGACGCATACTGTGGCATGGAGACAGCATTCCAGGTTTTTTAACCATTGTCTGTGCTTTGTGAGGC